ATGAAGAAGGATTGTTGACTTGGAAGAGAACTGCTGCACACTCTGTCACCAAGGAAACTATCAAGTCTCTAATAAAATCCAAGGACAGCCCTCAGAAATAGCAAGTTTCGAACTATCTTATTCATGACGTCAACCACATATTGTACATAGACCTCTTTAATTGTAACTTATTAGTAGTATTTAAATAGAATTTTGATATTTTAGCATTTAATGATGTTAAGCTGACCATTTACTTCAATTGTATATATGATATTATTGATAAAAACATTTCCCTTCTTTTTAATTGAGAAAATTTGATCAGAGGGACTGTGATCTTCAAAAGATTGACCTAGCAATCACTTCCTATGTCCTCCAAATAACTTTTTAATTCGAAATAGCTTTTCTCACACTCGCACTGCTGTCTTGGTCTACTGTCATTGTCTCTCATCTACAGTTTATATTGTATTTCCATGTCTTAGCATTTCCGTTCTTCATTTCCTTCTGAAAGTCTCAATTGTCCGTGTTGGACTTCACAGATCTGGCCATCAGCAGTCCTGACAGACAGCAACAGATGTAAGGGTTTGGCTTGCTGCCCTACTGCAGAGGATGACTGGCAGTTGGAGCAGGTGAACTTCCAACAGATGGCCATGGTTTCAGAGTTCTTTGGAAAGTTAGTATTCTTGGTATAACTTCCTTCTTCTATCTAATAACACATGGATACTAAACAGTTATTTCAGAGCTGGCAAGACAGGTTGCTTTGTGAACTTGGTGCAAGGCTGGTGATCTGAGTTTTAATCCCTGGATCCCACAGAAAGGTGAAGGAGATAACCCACTTCACAAAACATGTGTGCACTTCAAACAAAAGTTATAACCCACTTCACAACATAATGCACACATAAACACACACACACACAGAGACAGAGAGAGACAGAGAGGAAGAAAAAGAGAAAGGGAGACAGAGACATACAGACACACCATACAAGAACACTCACATAATAAGTGAGTAAATTATAACTTCATTACTCAATAACTAATCTAAATATCACATTATCTTCCACAATGTTTCCTTAGGATATATTTCTGAAATAATATTCAGAAAGTAACAACAACAACAAAAAGACAATCCACATTCCTTGTCAATATTATATTTTTCTGAATTTTGGAAGTTTGGTTTCATACTCAGTTGTTCAGCATGGAAAACATTAACTTTTTCAAGTCTTCATTTTATCATCATAGTTGAGGCATCAGTCACTTGAATTGCTTATTAAATCTTCTCTGGAATTAATGTCCCAATTTTTAAGATAGTTAACAGACCTCTTTGCTATTTACATGTCAGAATACCATTTTACAGGAAATTAGTGTTTTCCATAATAAACACCAGGTAGGTTACAGGGTGACAAATATTGGTTATAGCTAAGCAGAGTTGTCTTATTACATTTTGCTAGAGTATGATTTAGGATGATTAGATTATAACAGATAAAATTTCATCTATTAAATAAAGTCTATTACAAGTAAGGACAGGAAAATCTCAAGATGCTTCTTAAAAGCAGAGATGAGATTTGACATGAAAGAAAATGTATTACAGAGGAGGTGGTGTAACTTTCATGTAATTTACCTCCATACAATTGATCCAGTGTTAATCCAATAAGATCAAGTCAACGCAACCCGGTTGTTTAGTTGTGGGAGTGATTTATGTTCTGTGACTGACCCTACGAGAGAGGGCTTTATGATACCTGTTAAAGGACCCTTGGTCTCCCATAACCTCTACCTGTGACTGATTCTAGCAGGATGGAACACCTAGGTGGCTTCCATTAGAAACAACCCCAATGGTGGACTGAGAGTGGGGTGTTGGAATCAAGTGCAGTAATTTCTAAAAAGCGGTTGACTGGCCACATCATTTCATTGCATAATTACGGAAATGAGGGCCTGACAAAAAGATGCTGTTACACAGGGAATGCATGATTTCCAGAGTAGTCATAAAATATAAACGACATGCCTTCTCTCTCCACTGTCATCCATACTACCCACACCTTCTCCTCCATCCACAGATTAATCGAAGCACATGCCGCAATGCGCAGGGGGACAATCAAACTCAATGTTGTTGTTATCTATACAAGGAAGTGATTTTTGGTTTTGTCATACCCACTGACGTTATTGATTGTTCAAAGACTGAAAAGATCAGGATACAGTGGGATTTAATATAGATATAAAGGCGAAAGAATTATAGGATTCCTTTTGTTTTCCAAACACTCAAGGGCAGCTTAGGAAGCTCATGTTATACTAGTGCAACACTGTAAATGTCAGTGTTTGTGAAGTTGTATGCTCTTTGTCTGTAGAAGGACTATTCAACAAGACAAGCGGACTATTGTTCTAAGCTCATTTAAAGTATTACTGGTCTTTGTACAGCTAAGAAGAACTTCAGGAATGAAAACACAACAGTGCATGAAAAAACACATATGCAGAAATAAACACACACAGAGATACATAGACACACACACTATCTTTGCTCTCTTTCTATTTAAGCTGAGAAGGACTAAGTCAAATCACTAATCTATCCACGCCTGTGATTTTTAAGGTACAGGGTAACTGCTCTGTGGAATTTGTAAAGCCTGTGCAGTCGTTCACCGCTATGATATAAAGCTCTGGTACAGAATCATTTTATCACAAGATGAAGATGAAGATTTGGAAAACACCATAAAGACCCCGGAGTCCACTAAGCTAAATCTCTAACTCAGCGGGTGTGGGGGGGGGGATGAAGGAATGAATCTATGCTTGCAGGTAGGCAAAATTCCAGACATTATGACAACAGAATGCCTCTCTAATTACCACCTACCCCAGCAATATTGCATAACGCTCTGTGATCCCAGGGAGATTGTTACTCCATGATATGTATTGCCCTATTCCTCATATATTAAGCTGTTGCAAGCGCAGCTCTGCACATCTCAGTGGGAGGCAAATTGAGGCTGGGACCCTTAACACTGCTCATGAAAAACCACATGCAGAAATCCTATTGAGGAGAAGAGCTCCTTCACTGATGCTAATCACAAAGCTTTCAAAGCAGAGGAACTTCTCATTTAGCATAATCTTTAAAAATTAGAGCAATGCCTCCCATTACCATATTCTAAAGTAATTACGTGCAGTAAGTAAAGACAAATTCATTACTAATTACACAGCCTTTTATTGTGAAATCCAGAGTGAAATTATTTGAGGTATTTTCTTTTCTACGCTGACAACAGCAAGACTTTACTTCATCAATCAGTTTGACTAAAGCAATGATTTTCTTGGAATTAAAATTTGTTGAAAGCACTAAGTATTTCATCTTTGGGGCTAAGAAGCATGTAGTTAATGTCACCACTAATACATTTGTCAGTCTGCTAATTTTCTTTTTCTATTAGAATAAGTAAACAGCAGCCCTTTTAAGAAGCATACTATCTACCATGTGTCAGGAGCAATGTAGGGAGACTTCTTTGAAAACCATGTGGTAAGGCATTATGAGATGCACAGGAATCACAGGCAGACAATGAAGGAGAAACATAAAAGGGAAAGGCATTTAATAATTCCAAAGTGACGGTAGAATACATCTCACAAAGCATAAAGGGAGGATAGCATTTAGAGGTGAATCATAAAAAAAAAAATCAAATCAAATCAAACCAAGAACTCAAGGCAGAAGGACCAGAAAATGAAAGGAGAGACGGTTTCTGACAAAGAGTTACAGCAGAGTGGGAGCGATCGCCAAACAATAGAAGGCTCCTAGAGGACAATGGGGATAGAAGCAATGAGGCTTTGCTTCTAGGGCGTTCCACCAGTCAGTACCCCCTCAGATAAGCTCATTATTTGATGGAATATGGGCAGGGACAGTCCAAGCAACTCATTCTGTCCCTACGGATACGCTTCCATCACTTCGGCTCCATTGCGTTTCAGTTAGACTTGGTAATACTTTAATTAGAAGAAAAGAATGCCTAGTAAGAAATGCCAGCTCTCTGTTCTGCTCACTGTCCCACAAAGAAACAAATGGTCTTTTTGATAATTGTGTGATCCCAGAGCTCCAGACATCTCATGTCCGGGATCAAATGTCACTTCTACCCAGTGTTTCTTTTCTTCTCTCATTTAAAATAGCATTCAAAAATTAATTTCTGCCTTTAGCAAAAATAAAAAAAAACTATTACTTAGAAAAAAAACCCTTTTCTTCTGTCATAGTTTAGATGTGAACGGTGGTGCTCTTTGGAAATGGCAGAACTCTAAGAGGTAGTATCTTCTGGGAGGTCTTTAGGTTATTTAGGGCATACTCTCAAAGATAACTAGAAGAACCTAGTCCCTTCCTCCTCTCCCTGTTTGGCAATGAGATGAATGGTTTTCTCTGCCACATGTTCCTACCATGATGTGTTGCCTTACCGCACACAGGCTTAATAAATCATGAACTAGAACCTTTGAAACAAGGGCCCAGATAAACCCTTTTCATGTTTAGGGATGGAAAGATGCCTTTCATGATGGATACAAGCTAAGAGAATAACAAAAAGTACTCTGGCAATTTCATTTTATGATGTTTATAATTGGTATAAAATATTAAACTACTTTTTTCCTATTAAAATGTGGATAAAGATGACATATAGGGATATAGCACTAAATGCATAACTATTTAGAATACCTCATTTATTCATTTCATAATTTTGGAATATTTGATAGATTACTTTTTATATCTGGTTTTGCCATTAAATACGTTGGACATAAACTGAGAGGCACAGATGAATTCCTCAAATTTTAGAATCTGTGCTTCCTGACATTAAAAAGAGTTGGTGAAGATGCGTTACCTACCAGATCTGTAGACTGAAATAAGTTGCTTAAACTATCGGTTGGTTCCCTGATGACTTTTCAGTCATCAGTAACAAGCATGAGCACGTGGGCACGTAATCAATCCACACTGAAAACATATGTGGTAACCAAGCCTTCTTTGGTTCCCTTCTGCACTTCCGCAGAGCTATCATCGACGGTAACGTTCCTTGATAAGTGACATGGCTACTTACCCGGCTGAGACAAGAGTGGTGTATAAGGGACTTTTGGTTCTATTGCACTCATTGGTGGAGGTAGCAAAGGGTTGGCAAAGCTGCGGAGCGGATGAGTTGGTCGGACACAGGCTGTGGGGATCGTTCTGCTGGGTGCTTCTTCGCTGCTGGGATGTTCAGGCTGAGCTGGGGGCAGCATGGGCTGCTGTTGAGCAGCGGGTCCTTCACTCACAGCTGTAGTGGAGATAAATCAGGTGTCATTCAAGATAAAGTTTATTTCCCCCACATTTCCATTAACAGTCCATGAAAAGATAATATCAGCTAATCTCTTCTTCATATTATGGACATTCTTAATCTTAAGCTCTCTTGTAATTATGGACAACAACCAGCTCAGCACTTTTCAACAGTAGAAACAGGTACAGTAGGATTGGGTGGGTCTTCCAGAGACAGTAATACAATATATTCTCACTAACTATATTGCATGAACTGTCTGGACCCTATAATCATAAGTGATGAAGTGAGAAGAGTTATTTCTTCCTTTCTAAGTAGTAATGCCTGTAAAATTCAGCATACCCACCCCAGTTACAGCTGCATTATTTTCTACCAGCCAATATGTCAATTTTCCTGTGATTTAAACGTGCCATGTCAACTGTCAAACAAATGAGAGTTACAGGGTGCTCAGAGGCATTGAGGAAAAAAATGATACAAATAATAGCCACCATCATTATCTCCCATAACAAAATAGAAGCACATTGAGCTAAAAGTTATGAGACATGACTCCACCGGAGCAAGTTGCCTGAATACAGAATTACGATTTTTTTCCTCTTTGATAGCAAACCATGTAATTTTCAGGCAGATTACTATAGTTGAGGAGGCTTCACATAGTCATTTGTGACAGCCTTGAGGTATCTGGACAGCTTTGTATATGTGATTGCACCTTTTCCCCTAGGGAATACAGTTGAGCGAGACTAAAATATTTTCAAGTTTTTTTTCTTTTCTGTTGCTAAAGACAGGATGACTCAATTTTAAATGTTCATTCATATTCAAAGCCAAAAGGTCTAAGTTAAACCACAGATGAAAAGAGCTGCCTAGTAGGTGTAAGCGTTGTTGACTCTAGGCAAGTATTTCTAGTTATTTATTTCTTAGGAAAATTGTTTTGAGGAAAATGGGAAAAATATAATATTGCTATGATTATATCTCATTTTGGAAAAATAATTATCGACGCAGGATTGTTTCAAGATACTAAGTTTAGGAGATAATTTTGAGATGATGCCGAGAAGCTCGAGAAGTAGGCAGAGGAGTTAGGAAAGATGTCTGAGAATTCTAAAGTAGAAGAAATGAAGGATTAAAAAGTTGTGCAGAAGTGACCCATGGTGCAGAAGTGTTTCTATTTATCCTTTTGGGTTCAGATAGGGTCAGAGATCCCTGGGGGAAAGAACAACCTGTGGGCCTCAGCCTTCAAAGGTGGAGCACAGGTTGCAGAGTTGGCTGAGGAAATCATGGTCATCAGAGTTCAACATCAGATAGATGTGTTTTTAGTTAAACAGGGAACCCTGAGTAAGACAGCCAGCTGCCAAAACCCCATGGAGATCTCACAAGAAACTTGCATGATCACCAGGAGAGGGGAAGGTTAGTGGATTTGATTAGATTCTGTCTTGGGATGGCTGAATGTTTAATTTTCCAGAAGAAAAAAATATTAGGTTTTAACTTTGGACTTCTGTTCAATCTGAAGAAGAAAGTGACCAAAGCTGATTTTCAAAATGCAGATATAATCACTTATTTCTAAACCTGGGCATTTTTGTTCCTTAGTCTCAGAGTGGTTGGTGGCTGAATTGTCTCCTCAGTCCTGGTCCTTTGAAGAAGGTAGGTAACCTTGTTTGTACGCTCTTCACACCACAGGCCAGGAAGGATTTGTTTAACCATTACATTGCAGAAAATATCTAGAAAACGACAGGTTTTTTCAACATTGTCTTCAGGGATGATTCTCAGGATGGGGAAAGTTATTCAGCCCAAACAGTTTAAAACTACATAGGCTAAGGAGTTCTTGGGAATATTGCCTTTCTCTGTCCGAGAGTCTCTCCTGTGTGAGCGATGAGTTTCACAAACGAGGTTCGTGAGGTTGAGTTTCTCTGACCCCTTTTGATTTACAGTGGCTGGTTTTTAGTAATGGGACCACAACACAATACTAACTTATGAGTACAGTAAAAGAAATTTCACATTCTTTTCTTAGGAATTCGTTTTAGGTGATTCTCTCTACAGAAGACATGCTATAACTAATCCACATGTTCTACCTAGAACTCCCACAGCATTGAAGAAACAATAGAATATTTTTAATGTCTATTTTCCCTTTAATTCTTTTTCATCTCTCCGGTTTCTTTCTTTCTCTTGTATTTTGGGCATGAACAATTCATGGTAAAATATTGTTGTAATCTTGACCTTAATACAGTTTACATGCATCTTGCTTTAATGCCTTGAAATTCAGTCTCTCATTACAGCAAAACCTTTGTATGACATGTGAACATATGGGTTGTAGTGATTTTACTGAAAGTATTGAGTGTAAGGTCCAAAAGAAACTTAGGACAAAGGCTAACTGTGGTGCCTACTAGCACATCAAGGTGCATGCTGGCTTTCAGGCTCACCCAGTACCTGTGGTTCCCCCCACTCATTCCTCTCTCCCCACTTTCTACCCTAAGCTTCCCAGCTCATGCGCTGCTCTTCCTGCAGGCTCTCATTTCTCTATCACTGTACACTTCAGCATGCACTCTTTTGTCCTCAGTCTTAATCCTCTCCTCTCACACTGTCCCCACCCCTACTCTCATGATTCTGTCCATTCTGCCGGCCAGGCAGCAGCCTTCCTTTTTCTGCTCTTGACTCTTCTAGATTCTTCTGGCTGCACTCTCCCTCATATCTGCGATAAAAGCATTCCCTTCACCTACATCTTGTGGCCATGTCCTAACCACATGCTTCTCATGTCATTTATTTTCACTGGCTCAATGAGAACCAAAATTCTCTTTATCCCAAGTCCTGTATCTCTGGGCTTCCAGCTGTCCAGAAAGATTCCCATTAGGCTAACCATGTTGTGATCCTAACTAGGTGGATCATATCCTTTGTCTAAGGCATCCTCAATAACACATAAAATCACAGTGTGAAACCTGAAGTGTTTGGAAATTAATAGAATACAATCCATAAGAGATAAAATTTCTTTTCTTTAAAACCCATAGAGGGAAAGAAGGCTTTCATTGATAATTCATAATTCTTATATTTTAAGTAAATGCTTTCAGACGTTGGCTGACATTTAAAGCAGCAAAAATCCTGAAATAAACAGGATAGCAATCACCCCAGCAGAGAAACGCCACACCTTAGATGTGTGCCTGTTGGCTAGTTCAGACACCAGCTCCAGGACACCTATGTGAAACAAATTGGCTCAGTGACATGGCATTTATCTGTGCTAAGAGCTCTAAAAGCCAAGACAAGCTCCTGTCACCCACAGAATACAGCCTCCCTGCAATTCAGAGCGGAGTGAGAATCAAATGGATGTCGGCAAGGCACTCATTTTCAAATGATAAAATAGTCAGAATTCATTGTACAAATAGCATACAATTACACAGTGCAGTCAAATCTCAAGGTACTTTATAATAATTAATGTCAACACACAAAATACTTGCTACAGAATAACTGGAAGAAATACTGCAAAAAATGGAAATGAGGATTTTTCTTCTATCTGAAAACTCCGATGGTTGATAGGAATGCAGCCCACCAACAGCACCTAACAGACCCTGAGACACCAACACCTCTTTTAGGAACATATTTGACTCATTAATCTTGGAAAAACAACATTATGAACTATTCTTCAGTTATCTAGTTCTTCATAGCCTAAGCTGTTTAAAGGACAGACATCCCTAGAATAATGAATAAACCCTTCCATGTGCTCCTGATTTTATCTGGGACAAATTCCATTTGTCAGTCAATTTCCAGTTTGTGGGAGAAATGGATTAGAAAAACCGCAGGAGTAAATCTGGGAAGCACTGTGACAATGACAGAATCAGAACCTCTTAAACTCCCCTTCCATGACTTGTTTTATAGATGAGGGGGAAAAATGAGGCATTGCTTTGTTATGGCTTGCAGAAATGAAGTTCCCAGACTACCTGTTTGGGAGATTTTCATAGAACCGTACTGACCTCCTGGGGCAGCAACCTATTCGTGGGTGATTATAAGAGCAGGGCTGCAGCTGCACGGGCAGTATTTGTCCATCGTTCAGGATGTATGTGGAATGCACATGTTTCCAGTGTGCCTCCCTTTCCTTACAGTTACAGAGAGTTCCAGCTTTGTTGATGACTTCAGGCTTTGGGGCATTGGCTTTAGTATTTCCTGGCATAGATTCCTCCAGGTCTTTGAGATAACTTTAGTGAAGAGGAATCTTCACCCTTGACCACATTAACTTTATCTCTTTCTGTATGCCTTTCTCTGCTCCTAAAGGTTACTAATAAGATATCTCTATCCAGAGAGTTTTCTTCTTCAGAGAGAACAGGGGTGTTTAGGGCTCTACAAAGCATGTAGAAACCAATACCAAAGAGCTGGATGTTAACTATCTTTGACAGTGATTTATATAATATTCTGTTTCCTGGAAAAGGGAACATTTATTCCTTCCTTTTCTCTTCCAGGCACTTGCTTAAAGCACATTAGATGTTATTTCTTTTGCATCGCATATATTTAGTTGAAAACTACTTGCTGAGTGAAATAACAGACACATTTTAAACCAATCTGTAAATCATGGCCAGGGATAGAATCTTCGCTGCCTTGTAATTTGGAGGAAATAAAAAATCACACAGGATTTTGCAAAGAAAGCATTGTTGACATAATGATGCGCCATTGTTTTGTTAAATATTTTCTATTGCAATATATGATTACCTTCATCTGCTAAATCGTACTACTCAAAGTCTATCAAAACAAAAATCTACTAAAGAGGGCAAAAGTTGATTGATTAACTTTTAATGTACTTGATCATTTGGAGTTTATAGGAAAATTGATGGAAGTTACAGAAAATTTTCAAATAGCCCCAAATACTTCCTCATTAACAAAACAAAACTTTGAAAGTTAAGCTTCTTTTTTTCACTATTTTTTTAAAATTTTTATTTTTTTTTAAAAGAAAACAACTATCTTTTCTCATTATACGCACCAATCCAAGTTTCTACTCCTTCCCCTCCTCCCATCCCCTCTACAACCCCCTCCACCCCCAACCACTCCTTAGAGAGGGTAAGGCACATTGCTTTGGGGAAGGTCCAAGGCCCTCCCTATCTAGGCTGAGCAATGTATCCTTCCAGAGAAAATGGGCTCCCCAAAAGCCAGTACAAGCAGTAGGGATAAAACCTGGCGCCACTGCTGATGGCCCCTCAGTCTGCCGCAGCCATGCAACTGTCAGCCACATTCAGGGGACTTATCATGGACAAAAATGAAACAAACCCAACAAACCAAACAAAAAAGTCTTGAGACCATCATATTTAAATTCCATTGAAATGTAACCTTTGAATAATTTTCCCCAGGATCTAATTAGACACAATTCTATATGCTACACTGACTCAGAGGAAATAAAGAGAGAGGAGGGGCAGAGGAGATGAATACATTCATAGACTATGCTAACAAAAATTGAAAAGGAAATGAAGGTGACAGTTACTAAAAAGAAACACTTTCTGATGAGAAAAGCCCTGAGCCATGCCACGTCAACTGTGCCAGAAGGGTCAGAACAAAGTTATCCTATAGATTCCTCTTCGATGTTCCTTTGAAGTCTTAAAAGCAGAGAATACAAGACTGGTAGACATTCATCCAGTGAAGGTAGCTCTGTTGAGGAGCAAAGAAGGGACTTGTGGGGGGTTTGACTAGACTCCCATGTATAGTTGTTTTGAGATCCAGAAATTTCTAGCTGTTGGACTTCCCACACGAGTCTCATTTCCCTCCCTTCATAGGTTTTTTTTTTTTTTTCTCCCCGTGAGATTTAGCACACAACTCTATTTTGGAGAGCTGGTGCAGCGAGAGAAGGGAAGTGACTCTAATTCTCGCTTGGCAGATTTTTGATGCCTTTTAATTCTAACCTTGCTACATTTGGACGATTTATGATTTCTTTGAGCTATCCCTGTTGAGTTGAGGAAAAATATAGCTTGCCTCACGAATATATTTTATTGCTGTGCTATCATATCTATTACAAAACCTCCTCTTGCCCATGAGCTGCTGAGTCACCTGTTCTTAACTAAGAGATGAAAGCCATAAAATCGACTTAAAGATGCTGTGCTCCAAGGGTAGGGGGTGACCAAATGGCACAGGAGAAATCACCAGCTTCTATAGGAAAGCCTCAGTCTCTCGCCACTTTTGTTCTCTTTCTAATAGAGGACATTTTATTCTAGCAACCACCCCCCTTCAACAGCTGGAAGTTGAAAAAGTAGTACTTAAGCAAGAAAAGAATGTGGAGGATTCCTCGAGTATTTGTTCACTGGGACTCAGTAGAGATATTTCAGTTTAACCCACAGATACTAGATAAGATATAAAATGTATTGGAAGACACAGCTTGATTTATACCTTCCTGGTTAGTAGGGTCTTGTTTTAAATCCTCTGCTCCACCATTGTGTAATGGAGCCAGGCATCCCTTATTGCCAGACACATTTTTCTGTGGAGTTTGCTGCGGAAAGAGCATGCTGCTAGCAGCCCATGAGTAAAGTTTGCTGAGAGGGAACATTCTTGTACCAGAGTGAGCACCATCAGTCTTTACAAAGAATACGAATATCAAAGCGATACACAGACGTTATCTTCCTATTGTTAATTCTTTTCATAATAAAGTAGAATAAAAATGCATTACACTGACTTCTTCCTGCTCCAAAACCTCGATCCACAGACAGTGTTGGGAATGGTACTGGCCGGAGAGTGAACTGCGGATGGGGGTATCCACAGGTGGGAGATGGGAGGATTCCTGGATACTGGGCACTTTCCAGTGTTGGCACAGGGATGGCACTGACGACAGCTGCAAAAGAAAAACATTAGTTATTTAAAAAAAATCCTACATACCCATCTAGTCCACATCAAAGGAAATGGATAAAATTTCAAAATTTCAAGTCATCAAGCCAATGTATGTTCTTCATGGCTTCATTGACAGTCTCTTAATTCATCCTGTAAACCTCCTTCTTGCAAAGCAAAGAAATTTTGCTTTGAGAACACCCTATTATGGTCCATCTCCTTCCAGTTTGGAACCTTTCATGGGTACGAGAAATAATTAAGTTACAATAGAGGTGCAGCAATACTCCGGTCTTTGTATTCCAGTTTTTGTTTTGTTTTGCTTTTAGTCTTTCTTTCAAGGAGAAACATGGAAAAAAGAAGCATTTGGCCTTCATAAAGGAAATATATGGGGTATAGTGGGTTTAGCAGGTGGTGGGAATTGTAATTTCATCCTGTAAAGAGATGTATTACTGTCAAGAGGAAAAGCTGCAAAGACAAACACAAGTACACTGTCAGTACCCATAAACAGGTTTTGTCTTCAAATAAGATCCTTCTAACATTCAAAGCGGTCCAGATGAGTACACACTATTTCGAAGGTAGTTGAATGTTACCTGTGAACAACAGAGTGATTATATGGGCTGAAACCCACACAAAAACACCTGTGCAAAGTTTTTGATATTCAGACAGCTTTGTTCAATTTCATTATTCAGGGGTTGCTAATTTACATTATACTATGAGGTGTTTATTACAATTATAGTCAATCTTAATTTTATATCATTTGATAATCACCATCTAAAATAATGAATATTCTTTAACTCTTATTACCAGCCAACTATTGGAATGATTAGTTGGGCTAGTCTATGATATCAAAGCTACCTTCTTTTTATAAATTATTGCTTATATTCTAATGCCATCTCTGGGTTCGGTGTGCATATGTTTTCACATATCCCAAAGGAAACCCTTTCAAAAAATCATATTGTTCAATCACGTTGAGAATGGAGGAACTTGGGCTCATGGCCAGTCTGGACAATGGAATGAGATCTAAACCACTCTGGACGATTTAGTGAAAGCTTGTTTCAAAATAACAAAGAGAGGACTAGGATATATACTTCCATGGTAGTATGTTTGTCTAGTATGCAGAAATTGCTGGATTAAATCCTCAGGGGTTTGGGGCATATGTGTGTGGAGACAATCATATCAACCTAAAATAAGTTTTAATAAAATATTTCTTGTTCTTTCTTTTATTATTTTTACAACAAACATCAGTCTTCAGAGACAGGAGAATTTATGTATGCACTTGCACACACACACGTGCATGCACACACTCACACGTGAGTATGCACACACTCACTCACACAGATACACACACACAAGTGTTTCAGCATTCACCACATTGCTATGTTTGTGTACAATTGCTCTAAGAGCAATATTATCTTTCAGTTTCAATAAATCTCTGCTCTGTGGCCAAATATGACTAGATGTTTCTTCCGACACAGTTTGCTGGCAACTGAATTTATATCTGACACTGATGCACAAAGCGTTTTCAAGTAGAAATTCACTCACAAAATACATAGCTCCATGAGCAGGCATTGTGGCATCTGGAAACTTTTACAACCATCTTTAAGATGCTATTCCTAAGTGTGAACTACAGGAACTCCAATGTGGACACTCAAATTTAATGTTGTACATTTTAAGAACTGAAACTTCTCTTGATATTTCTCAACATGAGACATGATAGAATTGAGAGTTTTGCTTAAGGAGGAGGAAAACATAACAGTAAAAATGATATGTTTGAGTTAAAAAGCTTCAATGAAACAATTTATCATGTTGCCTCTTTTTATGAAAATGCTTCCACAATGACGTAGATATAATTTGGAACCATGGAACATTTAGAGTGCATTGTCCTCACTAATAAACATTCATACCTACTTCAGATGTTCATATTTTCATTGTTAAGAAAGTTTCACAGATGTATGTATTATTTTTATTACATGTATACATATTAATATAGATTATTATGTATTCATGTAGATGTCTGTTTAAATTCATATCTGAACCCAAAAGGCTTATGACCCTGTAAGGTTTTGAGAGCAGAAGGAAAAATTGTTTCTCCACTGGAGGAGAGACTTCATGATGAAGAAGAAAATTCCTAGTGTGGAGTTTTCTTTTCTGAGCTAGGAGAAGACGCTTTGTTTATCTGTCTGTGTGTGATTGCTCCTCATGCACTTGACACACTTCACAAGGAAAGGTATGCTATAGAGCTGCTGGCTACTGTCTGCCACAGCATACTTTGAGATATTTTAACATCACAGGGTGTGCACTTTTATAATATAATCTTAGGCCCCAGCATCTCCCACAACCTTTATGTTTCTATTAGGAATTTCAACCAAGGTCTTCTTTGGCGAAGTATAGCTATAAAATCCACAGACATCTAACAGTTGTGAATATGTGGATATATATCAGATAGGGATTAGTATCTAGAAAACATAAATAACTATAAAAATTATACACCAAAAAAAAAAACAGAATAGGAGCTTCAACGTTGGGTTTAAATATCCCAGAAGCTGGGCTGGTTATCTTCCTATAGACGACCCTTTTCCTGTCTATTTGTGTAGCGTCAATTTTTTAGTGATATGGCAGCTAGACCCCATAGAGCTCTTAGTTTTTCTTGTAGCTGTATTTTGCTTTTCAATGGTTCCTTCAATTTACTGTTAGGGAATTCTGCAGCCAAGTAATTGTGGGAACGGAAAGGAGAGTCTTGGTAAATGTTCTAGAAACCCAAGCATCAATTAGTAGACCTAAGCTGTCTTAAAAATAAAACTGCAGGGCCTCCCTTTTCTCACTCGTTTTTATTAAGCCCTACACTACATTTCTGAGCTGTCTTTTTATATTAAAAGTTGCTTTGTACTGTATTTCTTTTCTCAAATACCTACATGAAAATAGAAAAAAATAACCAAGACGATTTTGACTAACAAATTGCCTTGTATTAAAACAGAGATTTATTATTGGATGTGGTCTTATAGAAGAGCTACTTCAAACTGAACTCCTAAATCCTGGGCCCCTCTCCTCCAAAAGTTTGGATAATAAAGTGAATTGGCAATGGCCACACAGATGCTTCTCATGCTCTAATCAGTGGACTCGGCTGAGAATTGTTTGGGGGGTTAATCCGTAAGAACGTCACCTTTTTTTTTTCAACCAAGAAGTGTAATCTTTGATGAATAAGTAAATTTTCCTCATTCATGAAATTAAATACAATTCTAACATTTTAAAACCTCAAACACATATCAGCTTAAATAATGCTTCATCTACAAAGTAATATTGGTTACCCCCATAGTACGGTGGTTTTATTGATAAATCTTCCTCTGAAGCTTAAGTATTTGAATATTTGGTTTCCAATTGCAGGTCTTTTGGGGGATGTTAGGGGAGAACATTTAGGAGGAGGAGCCTTGCTGGAGGAAGTATACATCATAAGGGTGAAAGGTCACAGCCTTGCCATGCTTTAGCTGTCCTCTCAGCTTCCTGTTGCCTACCATTACGTACACTTTCTCTAGAACCGTAAGCACAAAAAAAAAAAAAAAAAAAAATAAAGTCTTTCTTCTATGATCTCTTTTGGTAATGCTGTTTATAATAGCAAATGATAAATATGGTAAAAAATATGAAGCAGAAACAAAAGTAACCTCAGAAAAATGTTATTTCCTAAGTAGAACAGCAGTTGTCTTGATATATGTCTAAAAATTGGAATAATACTACAGGCTTGGTTTATTTAAAACTTGATAATGGAGTTCAGACCCGAATACATCCAAGGAAATGCAAAGAGGCCGTCAATAAATTCATGTACTATACTGTGAGTATTCACAGCTCTGCCAGGTTCTAAATTGCAAAGTTTAACATTGTAAGGTTATGTAATATCTTTGTCACTCACAACAGATGGAAATAGAATATTTCATTTATTAGGTGCTTCTGAATTATTCTGAAGTTGACTACGGTCATATATTGAAGTAATTTTCTTTCATGGGATATCACTTCACCAATGTAGAAGTTATAAACAATAAGTAATAGTTCAATGTGACAGTATTTAAAAGAATAGATATCCTGTTGTGCTGTTATTTCATCCTGCAGTATGAGCTACACGTGGAAACACTTGGGCATGCCAAGCATAATTCCTGACTTTCTGAAGTTAAAGGCCTGCTACTTGTCATCCAGAGCAAAAAAGAGAACATCAGCCAAAGCCCTTCCATTATCTCTAACAATCACTCATAAACTCCCTTCAACACTACTGCCCTCGGGAGGTCTAAGACCATACATAACTTTTTTGTTTTTATATTTTATGTAAAATGAACCATACACATGAATTAGATTCCTCTTCCATTATGTCTTTGAAAGGCTCCACTTAGTTGATTTGTTTTATGGTTGCATGTTATTGTATGATATGACTACACTATAATTCATTTGTTCTCAGTAACAAAGATGTACTACAAATGGATATGGTCTTTGGTAAGTATATCATGTACTTATTAAAAAGTAGAATTACCTTAGAATGCAATAATTAGACCAAGATATCCTAATAAAGTTTTAAACTATTTATATATTGAAACTAGGTGCATGAAATACTAGAAAATGGAAATAATAATAGCAGAATCAGTTGTTGGTCATTGTGGGGGATCCTATTAATGTGGACTAAATTACTACAAATGAGACAAGGCAAAGGGAAATTCAACACTAGGTGAGAACAGGAAGGAGAAAATACTAGATAAAATGAGCATTGGATTGGCACAAGCCTTAATGCCTAAAATTATAACTTTCATATAATACTTTTAAAAACTATTTAAAACAAAGAAAAAATAAAAAGAAGGTGAATAATGCCAAGCATGAAAGGCATCTTTGTCTGTGAAGAAGCAGTGCACACTAGAGATTCAGAGTGTGTGCAGCCACACGAGTTCTGGGGAAAGGCTCTTAAGCAGTTCAAGACTGTTTCCCCTGTGTGCAGTCAGGACAGTCTCGTTCCATTTTCATACTGTGAGAATTGAGCAAAATTATAATTGGTAATGTTTTGCCATGTTAAATGGCAATCAAAAGTTCTCAGTATTTACAAATTTAGTTTGATTTACCTTCTATTTAAAACGCATTTATTCATAGTCAGAAACAATTTAAACTACCTTTAGTACATCAGAAGATTTATCAGACGTTCTCTCTATTCTTGATAAAAATGAATCCTCCAACAAGTGAGCCAACATTTTTGTAGATGAAGTGACTTGAAAGGTATTTATCATATCATCCATATCTGCTCTGGTGTTTGAAAGCACATAAACGTGGTTGGGTGCAGCTCATTATCAGGTTATTCTAATAGCACAGAGGAAAGTGATGCAGTTACAGGGACCGGTTATCAGTCTTCCTTGGCAAAAGCTGAAGGTATAGTAGTGAGAAACCAGCTTGGAGCCGATACTTTGACGAGTTTGTAATATCATGTTTGGTTATTTTGTTTGCTTGTTTGCTGAGATGAAAAAAAAATCAGTGGGATATGAGAATCTAGATAGAGCACCAACATATGAACCTAATGGCCTTCAAAACATTCTGAAGCACAGCTATGTTTTAGAAGTAAAAGTTTCAGATAGATGTTCTCCACCAGCAAAACAGCAATTAGAGCCTCAGAAACAAGATAGTGAAGTACAGTATTACTCTAGTAGTGAAAGGTTTGTACGAAAAAAGACGTAAGCTTTGTGAATTATTACAGCTAGGAGAATAATAGTAACTAGAACACTGAAATCAGAATTCTGTCCCAATTCTGACTCTAATTACTAACTGTGTGATCTAGCCAGTTAATCTCTCTGATCCTTAGTTCTCTCATCAGTTCATTAGGCAGAATGGTAGTACCTAGGAGCCAATCTTTTATGCTCATAGTAAAGAGAGTAAATACAGCAAAAATATATATTATATTAAAATAAATTGTATTAGGACATTAGAGAAGGGTATCGAGAGAAACAGACACAGAGAGAGAATGAGAAAAGAGAAATAGAGAGTTAATCCATTCAAAGAGAAGAATACATGATGTTAGTATAGACCCTCACCTAGTTCCCGAGATGGTGCATGCTGTTACCCAAGCCATAGAAAGAAGGGTTACCTGCTGTAGTGGATTCACACATAATTACAATGTGAAAAGGTGATGTCAGAGATCAGCACAGAAGCTTGGCCACATGGAGCTTTGTGTAATAATTTAAAACTGTTCTACATGTATCCAGGGATAAGATGAGGTAATACATTTATTGGAACCCTGATTCTAGGTAACTAACCACAAGATAAATGGCTGAAGTAGACAGATAATTTTAAGCATATAGAAATAGTCTATATAAAGTGATAGAAGTAGCTTAAAGTCAAAGAAATAAAGGTGAAGAAAAGGTGCAATCAGACAAATAGGACGAATTGAGGAAGTGCATGGGGGTATAGTGAAATATTAAACTTGGAATGTGAGAAAGTCAGAATAAAGAAGAAAGTGGGCTGGGGCACCATCTTAGTGGTAAAAAACATTTGCTTCACAAACACGAGGACCAGAGTTTGGAACACAACACCCACATAACAGTCCTTGCGTCCAACAACACATGCAGCTCCATATTTGAAGCATCTGGTGCCCCCTCTGGCCTCTGTGCATGCACACACAGAAGGAAAGACACAAATAAGCAAATATTTTTTTAAAAAAACAACAAAATGAAATAGAAGCATGAAACTAAAGTTTCTGACTAGAATAAGTGAGGGACAGTTATACCATTTCTGGAAATGAGGAAAAATACTGTTCCAAAAACAGTTCTGCAGATGGGGAAAGGGGATTAAGAACTACTAAAACCACAGATTTGATCACAGCTAAGGTACCCATTACGTATTTGGAGACGCTGAGTGGACAGTTGATAAGAAAGTTCATGTGGATTCTGGGAATAAATGAAGGTAGAGATACAATTTAAGACCATCAGCATCTCCGTTCCATTATGGCCAAAGACATTATCTCAGTAGTTACTATATTAGATAGGCCCAACAGCCCTGAGCAGGAGCCCTAGCTCACTCTGAGTCTTAGAAATCGGGAAGAAGAAAAGAATGGTGAGAAGGAAAAGTCGATGGGAAGGAGGAGGGAAACTTGATGGATTTAATACATCTAAAGGGGAAAACATCTCTGTGTGTGTGTCTCTGTCTCTGTGTGTTTATGTTTATCTCTCTCCCTCCCCCTCCCTCTCTCTGGATATGTGTCTTCTTTGTTTGTATGTATGTGTTTCTTCTCTCTCTCTCTCTCTCTCTCTCTCTCTCTCTCTCTCTCTGTGTGTGTGTGTGTGGGTCTGCATTTCCCTCTGTCTCTCTGTCTTTTTCTGTCCCCCACTACATACAGGAATTTAAGCCACATTCAGCTGACAGTTTACTATTTGGTGAGACAACACAGATATACTGACAGCCTTGGTCACTGTGATGGTTTAAATGAAAAATATCCTCCAAAAGCTCAGGCATTTGAACACTCAGTCTCCAGTTGCTGGTGCTATTCAGGGAGTTTAGTAGGTCTGGTCTTGCTGGAGGAAGCATGTCACTAGGAATAGGTTTTGAAAGTTCACATACTCTTTCTAGCTCCAGTTTGCTCTCTGCTTTGTGTGATGGAGATGTGACATTTCTACCGTAGCCACTTGGTGTCATGCCTCTCCAGCCATTATGGACTCTCCCCCTGGAACGATAAGCCTAAATGCACCCTTCCTTCTAGAAATTGCTTCTTTCCATGGTGTTTGATGGCAACAAAAGAAAAGTAACAGCACCACTACTGTGGTTTCCATAAAGAAGAAGTATGAACACTGAATCAAAGCACGCCTCTGAAAGAAGAAAATAATTATACTCTTAAAGTTTTCTGTGCAAACGAGTATTGGAGTTTTTGGTTGGTGAGAAAACTATTCCAAGTGATTGTTTCAAAAGTAGGGATCCGGAAAGAATGTGAATGTTTACAAGCTTACTGCAATGAACAGTCAGAAGGAAAACTGATGTAAGCCCAGGAGTGATGCACACATGTGGAGTGATGGGTTAGCAACACGACCCCCATGCGGCAGCATAAGCACACCAACTGGACTTGTTTGAACAACAAGAGTAGCATTTTTCAACACTTCTCCTTCTGGGGTAATGTAAGAACAAAGATGCAGGTGCTGACAATTATTACTATCATTCTCAGGCTTTGGTCTTGGTGATTGAAGCCAAACCTCTACGGCTGTTAGGCAAACGCTCTGAACGGTACCCCTAACTCTGAGGAAATACTATTTCAACACGGGTGAGAAGATACTGAACTCAGAAAAATCAGACTAAATGTGACATTCATCTTCCCGAATGAAATCACCAAAAGCTGATGAAATGCAGAAGCATTTCCAGATGAATGCTCACCTCAGACTTGTGTTCAAACATACCCAGAAGGCAACTGAGCATTGTTCTGCAGACACATTCCACTGATAGGTGCTGAGGTACAAGTTAGTGGGGTTATTGAGTTTAACTACAGCTGATTGTTTTTGTTTCTTTTCAGTTGATTTCTTTTTTCTTTTCAAGTAAGTATTGTGGGAAGGAGGAGCAAGGCAGATGAGGTGAAAAAAATAAAACAGTGAAGACATATGGGAGATGGGACACAGAGGGATTGTGGAAGAGTGAGTGAATTGGCAGTCTCATAAGCATGGAGGAACTGTTGGCAAGGGGCAATAAAATAAGTGTGCAGAAACTATTAATAAGGAGTTAGAAGGAAGGGATGATGGAAACTGACACCATGCATTGGTTTAGTGTGACATGGAATTGATGGATGGAGGTGGGAAGGAGCCAATACCATTGCAGGTACCATAAAGAGCTAACAGTTCAGGGAATCAGATGGATTATCTTCATGAAGAGTGTAATTACCAAGATTGATCATGGAGGTAATTGGAAAGGAAGTGATCCCCAGATGCTAATTTCTTCAGTGAATGTAGGAGGGAGACAGAAACTTCCAGCAAGGAGGGGTACTAAGTGAATGTCTGAGTACTCTTGACTAAATAGAGCTAGGTTGTGTAAGCATGAAAACTGGACCATCTACAGTAAAAAAAAAATAAGAAAAAATAAGCTATAATGATAATAACAGAATCATATCAATAATATCAATGGACATTTCAGCTTTTAAACACAGAAATTCATATTACTATAAATAGTGCCTTGAATTGTATCCATCTGTTTGCTAACACATATCATAAAAAGATATAATTATATAGCAATGACCATGACTGATAAATAAATGATTATGACTTGCATCAGTCTTCAATTATTCACCTGTAATAATCACATAAAATGTAATTATTTCTAATGATTCGATATTTATAGAAACAAGGCAAACTTTTCTCTTTTTTTACCTTTTGTAACTAAATTGTACTGACCAGGATTATTGGACTGGGCTTCCATGGGGATCATTAGCTTTGCTCTGGTTGCCCGGCGTGCTGCAAGGGACCTCTCCAGAGTGGACATGGCGCTCCCTGCTTCCTCGGTGTCTTGCCCTAAAAATAATAAAAAATGATAAGAGCAATTGTAATAACCTCCAAATAAATATATCTCCCTATAAGTAAAAAAATCCTGTATATAAAAATATATTTGATTTTATACTTTAAAGCCTCTACTTCACCAGAAAATCTCTCATTTTTGATAAACATTTTCATCAAAGTAGTATGATATAATAACAAGATAAAAATAGGAAGAACAAGCCGGGCTGTGGTGGCACACGCCTTTTATCCCAGCACTTGGGAGGCAGAGACAGTCAGATTTCTGTGAGTTCGAGGCCAGCCTGGTCTACAAGAGCTAGTACCAGGAGAGGAACCAAAAGCTACGGAGAAACCCTGTCTTGAAAAATCCAAAAAAAAAAAAAAAAAAAAAAGGAAGAACAAAGCTGGAGATACTACTACACATGACATCAAAGTATACTTCAGAGTCACAACTGCAAAACTTATGTAGTATGTGGATTCTAGTATAGAAACAAATAGGTAGTATAGAATGCAGAACTCAGAAACAAACCCACTCAGTTACACACATATAATTATCAACATAAGTGCCAAGCACATATCTTGAAGGAAAATAGGTACATCCAACAATCATTAATTTTGAGAAATGCTTAAAAAGAAAGTATCTTCCCTCTGTAGAAAATGTGATATTTAAAAATGCAATAAAACAAAAGAATATGGGATTAAAAATATTTAAAGGTAAAAATTCCCAATATTTAACAACAGGCATACATACTTTTAATTAATTAATAAATTTATGAACGTTCATCGTCAAATCAGCAAAATATACGTCATGCATATTGCTGATAAACCCCTGAAACCTAGAGCCAGTGACATTTGTTGAAGCAATGAGAAGAAAGCAATCTAATCCACGTCTAGCAGTGTGACAGTTTAAATGACAGTGGGTTTCCCATCAGGAACCAGGGAGGCCAAAGTAATGTTCCAGTTCTCAGATGCTGAAAGACTTAAATGACAAATCATTCAAGTCTCAAATGAGCTGGTGATGCAGAAACTACCCATAGAGCATTACCAGTAAAATGTGCTTCCAGAATAATTGTTAAGTCAGGTTATTTTCTGATAAAATAAAATGAAAGGGATTTCTCTCTATCCCTTTAATCCTGGTGGAATGGCAGCTCACTTTCTACAAATCAGTATGAATAACAAAAGGAATCTTCAAAAATTAGAAGCAGAATAAACAATAGGAACTATACAAGAGCAATTAAATAGCTATTTCTCCCTGTTTATTATTTAAAATCATATTTAATAAGTGGAAATAAAAACTGGAGCAGTACCTACTATGTGTATTAATTCTCAAAAAAATAAATAAACAAGTCATCTAAATCCAGCTAATTAAATGCCTTCCTAGTTTTCAGATAAACCATTCAATGCTATTGGGTGTCTCTAGCCTTATATTTCTGATTCTGTAGCTACATTTTAATTATAGGAATGAGCTGCTTCGAATTATATTTCTCTACTGAGAATTTTAGCAAAATGGATTTCCAATACCATTTTTGAAGCACAGATTTTTTTTTTCTGTATTTTGCAGTGTATTAGCCTTTTGCGCCAAATACATCAGACCATCAACAGCTTTGGAGGTTTGAGTCCATATTTAATTTCCCTGTTGCTTTTAGACTGTAGAGAGGCAGAACATATTTCTGAAGCAGGTCGTAAAGGAAAGTCACATAGATGTGAGATGGAAGCCACAGAAAAAGAGGATGGGCCTAGAGTTCAAATTTACCTTAGAATATATTTCCCTAATTAACAAGGACATCTGCCTTCTAGGCCACACCTTCTAACTTCCCACCAGGTCCCAAGAGTAACATCTACTGAGGATAGAGGATACAACAGGGCATCTGAACATCAGTTATCCAGACCAGGGTCGGTACTCACATCTGAGGGCTTTCTAATGAGGGTACCTCTGTTCTAAACCATTGGTCCAAATGGGGTTGGGACAGAGAAACCCTGTCTCGAAAAACAAAAAAACAAACAAACAAATGGGGTTGGGAAATTTATATAAAATCTTTAGTTAACATGTAGGTAATTAAAAACAAGTAATGTTAGGTTCTAAAAGATGTTTTTCAATAAACTGAGTGTCTTTTTTAATATACAAAATATACAAAAGTGACAATTTTGAAATTTGCTTTTCTATGCATGAGATATGAAAATGAGGGGCCAACATTTGGGATTTCTGGGCTGTAGTTGTACTGGGCTTCATGTCTAGGAAGTAATGCTATATATAAATATGGAGATAAAGAGGTCCCAACCCTTGTCTTTCTTTTTATTTTGTGAAGAGAAGTTTGAAACCCATTATGTGGAGAAGAGAGTCATCATTGCATTGAGAGTTCTACCATGATAGTTACAAATTACACTATTACTAGGACACTCTACCTGGGTGGTTGGAGGAAAATGTTTCGTTTAAACCAGTTAAGTACACGAAGTACAAAGAAGAGAAGAAATTAGAAAAAGCAAATAGAACCTTGTATTTGATGAAAAATATTTTATATTAATTCTGTTAATGCTTTATTCACTTCTCTTTCTACAGTTGAAATAAAAATATTGCTCATGAGTTTTGAGTTTATTCAGAATCAGTTTCATGCCCAGAGAAGTTAACACTTCTAGTGGTTGAACTGACTTTTCGGGAAACCCATTCTCTTTGAGGAGATTCCTTGCTCAGCCTAGATATAGTGGGGAAGGCCTGGGTCCTGCCTCAAAGTAATATGCTAGACATTGTTGACTCCCCATGGGAAACCTTACCTCTCTGAGGAGTGGATGACGGGGTAAGGCATGGGGAAGATGGACAGAGTGGGAGTAGGGGAGGAAATAGGGACTGGGAATGGCATGTAAAGTAAGAAAAGATTGTTATAAAAATAAAGAAATTTAAATAAAAAATTTTAAAAAATTACTAAATAAATCCATTGAAATTTGGTCATTAAGACATAGGTTTGAATGATGGATGATTTTTTTGGCCATAAATTACCAGTATTAATTATATACACCTCATTACTAGCTATGTAAGCTACAGTGCTGGGTGCCCCCTATTACCACATATGTAACCTACAGTCCTTGCCCAATGAACTACATCAGTGATTCTCAACCTGTGGGTCATGACTGACTCCCTTGGGGGTCACATATCAAATATCCTTTGTATCAAATATTTATATTACAATTTATAGCAGTAGTAAAATTATAGTTCTGAAGTAGCAATGAAAGAAGTTTATGTTTGGGGGTCACCATAGCATAAAGAAATGTTTTAAAGGGTAGTGGCTTTAGGAAGGTTGAGAACCACTGAACTACATTAGGGACTATGTAACCTACAGTATTGACTATGTAAACTACAGTACAGATCATGTGAGCTACACTATTGACCATGTGACCTACAGTACTGAACATGGAACCTGTAGTAGTGATTATATAACCTATAACACTGACTATGTAACCTACAGCACTGACCATAAAAATTATAGTACTATGTGATCTACAGTACTGACTATGAAATTATGGCAATGATTATGTAACCTACATTATATTCTATAGTGCTGTTCATGAAAACTATAGTACTGATTATTGAACCTAGAGTACAGACCATGAAAACTATGGTGCTGACCATGGAACCTATAATACTGAACATAAAACCTACAATACCAACTGTGCAACCTATACTACATAGCCTAAAGAACTGACAATATAAGCTGTAGTAGTTACTGTGTAAACCACAGCACCGACTACGTGACGTACTGTATGTGTGTAACCTTCTGCGCTAACTATAAGACCCAAAGCTTTTGACTTAAGTTGCTTCATTTATTTTATGAGGAGAATAACACTTATTGTCTCAAAGCATATTGTAGGGATTCTGCCAGATAATGTATGAAAATGACAAGCATAGCACTTGGCAGAGGAATCTTTCCTTACACACTTTTGCCTCATTTGTCATGAACCCAGGACATGATGGCACAGACCTTTTCTTCCAGCACTCAGAAGGTAGAGGAAATAGGTGTCTTGGCTACATTGGGACTTTGAGGCAAGCTTGGCATACTTGAGACCCAGTCTCAAAAACGCATTAAAGCTGGGCGGTGGTGGTGCATGTCTTTAATCTCAGCACTTGGGAGGCAGAGCAGATGGATCTCTGTGAGTTCGAGGCCAGCCTGGCCTACAAGAGCTAGTTGCAGGACAGGCTCCATGAAAAACAAAACAAAACAAAACAAAATAATTAAAAGTACGAAAAGCAAAGAAAAAAATATGTTCTGTTTTTTCCCTGTAAGCAATGCTGTCCTCATGTTGAGGATAAATGGACACGTGTCCTCTCATTCCAAAGCAAACAGCCACCACTGGAGTCAAGCCTCCCTTAGTACTTCCTGAGAGACATAAAACTAGTCTAACTGCTCCAAGGACCATTTCAGTATAGAAAGAAATGGAGGCAAATGGCATTCTGGAAATCTTTGAAAAGTCTTCTGAAGACAGAGTCAGCCCCCTCTACTGGGAGGCAAAGACATTCTGCTGTCCCTGATGACTAGTGCAGAATCACGCTGTAAGGTTAATCCTATGAGAAGAAGAGAAATTCCTGCAAAAAAATTGTTTTCCTTTCTGAAGATGGAGGGACGGTGTGTAGTGGCCTGGCTGACCTATCATGTGTCTTTCTAAACAGAGCTAGAGGTAACATGAGACAAGGCCCACGGAGGTATAAGATCTCTTGTGCCTGGTCTTGGCAAGGATGCAGGAGCTTCTTAGTGGTTGGGTGGGTATACAGATTGTGACTCAGGCTTGAAGCCTTCGTAAGTACTTTCACACAGGAAATGACCCACAGGTGTGCATGAAGAGCCCTGAGCTGATTTCTAATACCATAAATGTGGGTCATGGAGGAATTCCACAAGTGTGTGAAGAACTCGCACTTGCGCATCAGGAAAGATGCCCCCAGAGAAGAGGAGTGAAGAGTAGTGAAGCATTCCGGGAATCTTCTTCACGGCATCTCCTTTCTCTCACAGGCCTCAAAAAATGGAAAGGCAGGCTCTTTGGGCTGGTTCCTAACTGTCACTCAAAGGTCCATGTATAAGAGACTTGGCTGCCAGCTGCTGGTGCTACTGGAATATGCGAGAACATTTAGAAAGAAGTTCAGAGGTTGGGAACAGTAGGGGGAATCTTAGGAATCATTCTTTTCTTGCATTGGTTGTCATCTAGCATTAGGTGAGCCAGAATCATCTGCCATGTACTCCTACCATGGTTGACAGTGTTATCATGGGCCCAAAGCAACAGGTCCAGGCTAACAGAGACTGGAAGTTCTGAAACTGTAAGCAATACTAACCTTTCCTCTTTATAACTCAAATATTCAGATATTTTCAGCACATTAATGAAAATCCGAATAACAAACAGGAAACTGCATAAATGTGATTCTAAAATGGACCATGACTCTTCTGCCCCCTTTATTATTCCAATCTGCTTCGAGGTCCTAGAAGATTGAAGATACAGATTGTAAACCCAAATCTCCATATTCAAAAATCTAGCTAGCATTGAGGGAAGAGAACCTTTAAATTCTGGATTACAGTTTTCAGTATGGCTAGGTTGCCCTTGAATCTGCTCAAGACAGCCTTCAAATACCAGGGGAAGAATATTTAACCCGTGCTTGAAGAAATGGTAACTAAAAAAAAAAAAAATAGAAATTTTGAAATAACAAAGCCCACTACACTGATTTTAACATTCTCTTGTTTGGCAACCATCTTGAGAGGAGATTCGGGGCTTTTTTCCTGAGCTCATCTTATGTGCTACTGTCCTTCTAGCTAAGCACTCAGATAATACAATGACCTCCAGAAAACAACGTATTTCAGAACTACTTTATTGAATTCTTAGTGATTGCTGGGTACCATTTATTATGATCCAGTCTATTGAACAATTGGCATTTCTTCATTTAGTTCTGTATACCAACAGCTTTCGAATGACTTTGTCCAGTGAGAGATCACATAATAATGTGACTGGGGATGACAGTTGATCTCCATGGTAATGAATGCCAAAATAATGATATTTTCATTCTTCAGGTGCTCCTAAAGATATTTTTTTAAACAATGAATCAATAGCAAACTTAGAATCATCTTTTAATAACCCACAGAGATTGAGAAGTGGAAACCGTATGGCTAGCCTCAAGCTTCATTGCTTTAACAGCACTTTTACTAGAATATCATTACCTGAATGCGAGGCGCTTTTGCTTCCCATCTGGGTTTCTGACTGGCTGTGGCTAACTGGTGTGAGGTCTTGGCAGCTCTGGATGGGGGAGTCCCTTCCTGCAGGGTCAGTTCCTGATGGCTTCTCAATGTTTTTCATTTCCATTTCTTCATGATGGATCCAAAGATCAGGAGGTCGGAGGTCCTTTTGACTGCCCTTCCTCTTGCTCACACTATGCGTGGCCCGTTTCCTATGCAACAAAGTGATAGAGCAGGTGTGAGTCCTTCTATCCAAGGGGGCTTCCTTTCTTTTCTTTGTCAGTTCAGGTTAAAAGCAGAAAAAAGAAACAAAAGGGCTCCCAGGAGGAATCAGATGAAACCCCAAAATTGGCAGGCTTGTCTTGGCCCTCTTTCCTCTTCTCCCCCAAGAGTCTCAACACATTTCTAGGAGATGCTGAGCTGAATCCCCAGGGGGTCTCAGCAGCCTGCCAGAAGCCATTCACCAGCTTCAGCAGCTGGAGATTCATGCACAAGGTGACAATGGGTTAGAGGGAGCCATATGCCAATCTTTGGAGGTAGGCATAAGGTACCTGACTGCAACATCTGTTTCAGAGATAAATGAAGGAGTAGCTTTGAAAGGGCAGAGAGAAATAAAAAAGGCCAGAATTTGTGCCAACAGCTGAGATCTGAGCTTAGAAGAAAGTCTATGCCTCAGCTGTATAATTTAATGTGCAACTGGGATGCTTGCTATTTGAAAACAAAAGGCCGCATGAGGACATTCCTAGGTGAATAAACACTTTCCCTTGGAGTCCTGTCTGGATCGAAACACAATGAGAGTTGTTTTTTGAAATTAGAAGAGAAAGAAAGATCCCTTCTCTGGAAATGTGTTTCCTATCTCTCTTATTTGCTTCAGTAAGATTTTAACTAGCCCATTTTTTTTTCAGCGATAATCACAACTCGAGAATACTGAGACTCAGATACTCTCTATGTATAAAGTAAAGTAGCACTGTGCTTGTACACTAACCATTTGCATCAGCAGCAATTCACAAAACTATGGCTCACAGGTCAGATCTGCCCCAACCTGTCTTGTAAATAAAGTTTTATTGAGAAGTGGGGTCGCTCCTTTGCCAGTGCAGTGCAGTGACAGAATTGAGGAGTTGTGTTGAAAACCTTAAACTGGGATTATTGCGAACTCCAGAGCTAGTTTCAACTGTGCTTTCTAATTTCATAAATGTTAATCTCTACTTGAAACTTCAAATTAAAAAAAAATAATAAAAGACAGAATGCAAATAGCTAAAATCTGATTTGGACAGAAGCCCTTAAAAGTTCTTAGAAACACGTACTTTCTGCTTTTCTCATTTACAACGTGACTGCTTTATTCAGGAAATAGCTTCCAATGTTTGGGAAGTGTCCAAGACAAGGTAATCTCTTCTCTCTCTCTCTCTCTCTCTCTCTCTCTCTCTCTCTCTCTCTCTCTCTCTCTCTGTGTGTGTGTGTGTGTGTGTGCTTGTGTGTGTGTGTCTGTGTGCATGCGCTTGCTTGCCTGCATGCAATTGTTTGCATGGAGGTCAGAGGTCAGTCTTTGATGATATTTATCCAGATCAGTTTACCTTATTTTGGAATCAGGGTTTTGAAAATCACCAATTAGGCTAGCCTTACCACCAAGCCCCAGATATTTGCCCATCTCCACAAGCTCTGAACCTGACTAAGATGTCTGGGTTTTGCAATGCTGTAGGGGATCCAACTGAAGTCTTCATGTTCATCCAGCACAAGCACTTTAATGAAGGAGGCATTTTCCCCAGGCCTCAAACAAGCCAATCTTAATGAAAAAACCATCACCTATGCAAGACCATTGGGGATGACTTTGCCTTTCCAATTACTGACTTAGAAACTTTGCAAACATTTTCCAATTAATGTTCAACGGTACAATTTGTTCAAATTTCCCAGCATTCTTTCTGTCTCTCTGAAGTATACTGATGGGAACGGGAGACAAAGAGCTCCAGACTTACTAGCTGCTTTGTGGTTTATTAGACAATAGTGACATTGCTCTGCTATCGCACTACATCATCCCTTAGGTCAAACTTAAGTCCTAGTTGGCTTTCTGGTGTCCAGGACAATAATCACTGGCTTCCTGTATATGAATCCATTTTCCTGCACTTCACCTGACCTCCTCAACAGATCTGCAACACTTGCTATGTGTTTTCTACTCCTAGTGACAGCATAGAAGATTTTCTCACTGTTAAACAGATCACCGTTTTCTTTCTTTCTTTCAGTCTAAAATGCTAAATGACTTCAACACGCCATGATTGTCTTCAGAGAAGTACCAGTACCCACACACAGAATGACACCATGTGCTTCATCAGGGTAACTTGATATTTAAATTGTCCATGAAAACCTTTCTGATCCGATTTTTTTTACTGGGGCCAGAAAGGTGGCTCAGTTGTTCAAAGCCTTACAGATCTTACATAGGACCCAGGTTTGAATCTCAATATCCTAGTCAGGGCAGCACATAGTGACCTATAAGCCTAGCTCCGGGTATCTGGTCATCTTATATACACACACACATACACACACACAAGCATACATACACACATAGAGATGTAGAGATGATTATTAAATCCTAAAAAAGTTTTTTTTTTTTTTTTTTTTTTGTGTGGAAAGCAAAGGAGAGATGGATCAACCCTGTAATCCTAGCATTAAAGATGCTGAGGTAAAAAAGGCATGTTAAGTTTTAGGGCTACACAGTGAGTGGTATACCAGCATGGTCTACAATTGAGAACCTATCTCAAAGTAGCAAACAGATAAACACACACACACACACACACACACACACACACACTTTGAAACCAGGAATAAATCCAGAATTCTTGTTGACTCAGGCTTAAATGTATGCCTTGTTCAAGTTTTCATTTACCCCCATCTCTCTCACTAAGAAGAGGAAGTCATGATTCCTGGTCAATGCAGACAGCTTTGCCGATCAACTCCTTGCAGATTCCAGTCTTCTCTAGGCAGCGCTTAGCTGACCAGTGAGATGCTGGGAAGATCCAGCAGGTCTCTAAACAGATTCATTTGCTGGTTGTGTGTGTTTTGTCGGGTCCCATTCAGCACTCCACTTCCCACAAGGTTGACTTTTCAAGAGAGGAGCCGTCTGCTCAGAAATGTTTCTCTTCAGCCCTTCTCTGCACAGTGTGGCAGGTGTGCAATAAACCAGGCAGGTGCTCCTAACTAAAGCTTCTGAAATTTGTCTTTAAACTCTACAAAGGGCAGCTGTCATCCTGACCTTCTGCCCATCTGTTGTGTCCCTAGCTTAATAGCTGAAACTATAGAAGAGAACTCAGTTCTCTGGATTCGGCAGTAGAATCTTTGTAACATGTGTGCAGATGGACCTCTTGATGATTTCTCAAAGTGTGGCCCAGGACAGAGCCAGAGGAGGCACTGCCTATGAACTCGGCAGGACTACTGAACAGGAGGCCATACTGAGGGGTGGGAGGAACTGTGTTCTAACAGGCAAATGTAATGCATGCCAGTTACTGCCAGAAGATTTATTTAGTTTTATTTGCTTGTATTTTAAATCTGTTGTTCCTATTAAATGAAGAAATACCACACAGTGAACCCTTCCTCACAATGCAAACATTGCTCCACTATTTTATATGATAAAAGTGAAGTCTTACACACTAATTTGCAACCCAAGTAGACAGGCAGATTATAGTTAAATATGTGGTGATATATAGCAATAGAAATGTGATGAAATAAATATGTCTATGTTTACTCAAGTAAGAAATTCTTCATGATCGATAAAAATAATTACGATTTACTTAAGGTAATAATTTGCACTCCCCTGTAAACCAGGATGAGCCCTCCACTCTTCAGTGACGCGGTCACAGAGACAGGAAAGAGGCCCCAGGTGTGCTCCTTATTCCGCAGCACCCACTGCCTTCCACTCCCACTTACTGAGAGCTCAGTAAAGAAGATTATTTCTCTTTCAGATTGGACATGATCTTGCTTTCGTCTGTATTAATTGGTTCTAATGTTTCTGTGGTGGAGATCGTGTGGGGGAAAGTTCTCCCTAAAATTAAAAAAAAATAAGAAAACCCATACATAATTGTAGGGAAAAATTACCTACAATTTTACCCTTTCTTTCAGCATGCATCTAATAACACAATTATATTGCTGTAGCTCTGTGGTAGACCTTGAGATCCGGGAGAGTGGTGCCTATGGAAGTTCTCTTATCATACAGGGTTGTTTTAGCTATCCTGGGTTTTTGTTTGTCCGTATGAAGTTGAGCATTGCCCTTTCAAGGTCTGTAAAGAATTGTGTTGGAGTTTTGATAAGGATTGCATAAATCTGCAGATTGTTTTTGATAAAATGACCATTTTTATTACGTTAACCCGACTGATCAATGAGCATAGAACCTTCCATCTTCTTCAATTTTTTTTCTTCAAAGACCTGAAGTTCTTGTCATACATGTCTTTCACTTGCATGCTTAGAGTTACCCCAAGATATTTTTGTTGTTTGTAGCTATTGTGAAGAGAGTTGTTGCCCTGATTTCTTTCTCAATCTTTTTATTGTTTATATAGAAGAGGGTTACTGATTTTTCCAGTCACTTAACTAAAGGTGTTTACCAGCTGCAGGAACTCCCTGATAGAATTTTTGGTGTCACTTATGTATATTGTCATATCATCTGCAAATAGCGATACTCTGAACTTTTTATCCAGTTTGTATTCCCCTGATCTCCTTTTGTTGTCTTATTTCTTTAACTAGAACTTCTAACACCATATTAAATAGATAAGGAGAGAGTTGACAGCCTTGTCTTGTGCCTGATTTTAGTGGATTTGCTTTCATTTTCTCCCAATTTAATTTGATACTGACTGTCGGCTTGCTATATATTGCTTTTATTGTATTTAGGTATGTTCCTTGTATATCTGTTCTCTCTAAGACTTTTATCATAAAGGGGTGTTGGATTTGCCAAAGGCTTTTTCAGCATCTAATGAGATGATCAAGTGTTTTTTTTTCCTTTCAGTTTGTTTATATGGTAGATTACTTTGACAGATTAAAAAAAAAAAACAGTTTGATATTGGCATAAAAACAGGCAGGTGGATCTGTTGGATGGAATCAAAGACCCAGACATAAATCCACATACTTATGGACACCTGATTTTTGACAAATAAGTCAAAATTAAACACCAGAAAAAAGAAAGCATCTTCATAAGTGATGCTGGTAAAACTGGACGTTGGCCTGTAGAAGAATGCATCTATGACTCTGAACAAAATTCAAGTCCCAGTAGATCAAAGACTCAACATAAATCCATTTACACTGAACCTGACAAAAGGAAGTGGGAAATCACATTGAACACACTAGTACATGAGGCAACTTTCTGAATAGACCACCAGCAGCACACACACACTGAGATTGACAATAAATGGGACCTCATGAAACTGAAAAGCTTCTGTAAGACAAAGGACACTATCAAAAGGATGAAAGATAGTCTACAGGAAAGCTTCTTCACCAATTCTACATTTGACAGAGGGCTGATCTCCAAAATATATCATGAACTCAAGAACCTAGATATCAAAACAACAACAACAACAAAACAAATAATCCAATTTTACAAATGGGGTACAAGCCTAAACAGAATTCTCAACAGAAGAATCTCAAATGGCCAAGAAACACTTAAAGAAATGTTCAACTTCCTTAATCATCAGGGAAATGCAAATCAAAATGACTGAGATTCTATCTTATGCCTCTCAGAATGGGTAGGACCTTAAACACAAATGGCAACTTATTATAGAAAAAATGTGGAGCAAAGGGAAAACTCCCCCATTCCTGGTGGTTACACAAACTTGCAAAACAACTTTGGAAATCAATATGGTGATTGTTCAGAAAAGTGGGAATCAATCTACCTCAAGATTCAGCTACCACTCTTGTGCCTATACCCAAAGGATGCTCAATCATACCACAAGGACACACTTGCTCAACTATGTTCATAGCAGTTTTATTGTAATAACAAGAACCTGAAAAAACCTACATGCCACCAAATCAAAAACAGATAAAGAAAATGTGTGTACATTTATGTAATGAAGTATTACTCAGCTGATTTCTTTGGGTCATTCACAGGATTGTGTCTTTGTCTTCATGTTCTCTAATTTTATTAGCTGGTTATGTTTAGGGCACACTCTGCCTTTTTCTGTTAAAAATTTCAAACTCTTATTATTCCAAAGGCCTTCCTGTGGGTTTCAAGGTGCTTTAAGGTGCTCTCCAAAGATTGACCAGTTTAGTTCTACACCTTAGAGAGCAGACTTTTTCCCTGTGTAGGGACAACATATTCCCAGGAACATAAGTTAACTAGAAAACCTCTGAGAGATCTTAAGCTAGAATCAGTCAGTACGTCCACACAATAATGAGTGAAGCAAGCAAAACTGGAACTCCAAACCCACTACAGAGAGCATCATTAAATTCAGGGTTCCTCGTGAATGTGCCCAGGTTTTAACCACTACTAAATTTTAGCACCTGCTTCCTGCCCCTTCACGTGAATTCTCAACTCTACCTCAGACACGTGAAACCTTGATGCTACACCATGCCAAGTCTGAACAACCCTTCTCAGGGACACCAGACCAAGACACTATTCGATGTTTTACTGTCATTTTGTGTGCATGGTTTGTTTCAATGGAAACACATATTGAGACTGGTCTCGAAAGTAACAGGTTTTACTGGTGTGGAGACCACAGAAAAGATGAATGTCTTATATTTCAGTGATGGATCATATTTTGTGGTCTTGGTTTCCTAATCAAAAAAGTGGGCTCATGGAGCTGTCAAAGTAGGGCTCCTTCTTGTCCCTGCTTTGTCGTGTCTCCTTTCTTCCACACCTGTTTTCTTGTTCTGCTTTGTCACCTTGCATATAGCCACATCAGAAGACCCTCACCATCAGCTAAAGCATGCAGTGCTATGCTCTTAGACTGCAAGGATATTGAATCAAAAATAAACCTATATTCTTTTTTTTATCCTTTTTTTTATTTTATTGAGAATAAGAAAAAAAAAGTTTCCGCCTCCTCCCAGCCTCCCATTTCCTTCCCCC